GCACACCTATAGGCTGCTTCTCAGGCAGCCTGTCTTCTCTTAAAGTAGCAGAAGCACCAAGCTTCTTGCTACGCAGGGGAATCAATATTTTTTAGAAGAGTATCATGCTTTCAAACTGAAATCTGGTTAAAAAATCCACATAGTGGATCAGACAGTTCTGTAGTGACTTTTATATCACTTGTATATGTGTGCAGTAGCTGCCCTGCCAAAAAGTTGGAACAAGTCCATAACAACTAGTTCAGTTTAGGGAACTACTCAATAAATCTAAAGATCAATTATATAATAAAAAAAAGAAATGATGACTCTTTAATAGAGCTGAGTTACAATCAGAGCTTGAAAAATCCAGTCATCCATGGCCTGTAGTAAGATTATCTGGCTAAGTACCATCAAACTCTTCATAACCTAAGCTTTCATTTGTCAAATAATTTGTGTGTCTAGCCTTTGTCATTGCAAGGATAACCTTCCAAACATAAACCAGTTGAAAAGCCAAAGCCCAAAGTCTGAGAAAGTCCAAAGACTGTTCTAGTATTTCATTTCTGCAGCAGCTTAGAGTTTTTCCAGGCTGTTGCAGTGAACACTGATAAGAGTCAAGCTAGTTTTCACTGCTGCTATATAAATCTATGGTTAATTATCCTTGGCTGCTCTCTGGGAAGCAGCAGAGGTAGTCTGTGGAGATACTACTAGGGAGTAGTATTCAAATACAGAGAAGATGGTAGAAATAAAGTAGCAAAGAAACATAAAGCATATCAGCAGTTAGGAAAGCTTTGGGTTGAGAGTAAGGCGCAGTGAGGAAATCAACTTTCTTCTTCCTCGGCAATAAGAGTATTGTAAATTTACCAGTCACCTACCAATCAATCACCTAGTAAGAAAGAAAGATTCCCTCCTTTTAGGGTAGGAGGAATGAGGCAGCACTGTTTTCTCACCTGGGTGCTGCTGCTGTGGTAACTGGCCTTTCATAATGAATCCTGGTTGGTCACACATTGGATAACACTGGTAAAATTTCTGGGCCATATATGTGAATAGATGCAGTGAGGTACTGCAAGAATAAATAAATGCAGGAAAGAGATATTCATGTTATTATGACAGACAAGAATTATAAGGTCCTGAGGAGAAAAGGAGCAGGAAGCAGATGCAGAAGAGAATAGGATCTTGTTACACATTGTACTTTGAGCTGCTCAAATGTCAATCATAGTGCTAGTTCAAGTTTGGAACAGTCACACCTTAAGGCTAAAAGCCTTCTCAGCCTGTCCCCCACCTGCATTGCTGTGATGTGTCACTAAAGGGCTGGCAATCAGGGGCCTGACTATGAGTTACAGCTGTGAGCTGCCACTATAAGGCTGGTAGGCCAGGACAGGCTTCTATGCTTGCTCTAGGTGTGGGGCTATGACATAGAGGTTGAAGGGGAAGGGGTGAGAACATGAAGCTGGGAGGCAGAGAGTTAATGGGATGGGCTAGGTAATGAAATGGGTGGTAGAAAGGAAATGAGGGAAGGGTTGTGAAATAAAGGAAGTCAGTAACCGAAAGATAAAATAAAAAAAGAAAAATAGTAACATAAAAAGAAATAAAGAGGAAGTAAATTAAATAAAGTCTCATGTTTTAATAAATTGGGATTTGGGATTGGGGTGTGCTGGTTATGTTTCCTGGGGTGGCTTGGAGGTGGGAACAGGGAAAGAAAGCACTTCTGGAAGAGCTACTGCCTCTTCCCTGGGAAGGAAGCCCCAGATCATGAAGACCTGATCAGGCCTCTACCTTGTTCCCCTACCACCTCCCATAGACCCCACTCCTAGACTTGCCTGTGCCCTGTGATCTGACTAGCTGGCCTGTGCTCTGCAGGTTGTTTGCATGGGGTTGCATCACTGGGAGTTGGAAGGAAGAACTGTCTTGGTGCCAGCCCTGCCCCCTGGACAGCAGAGTTCATGGGGTGGAAATTGTGTTCATACAGAACAGGAGGGTGGCAAGGAAACACTGCATCCTGGGATGCTGGAGGACTGCAACTTGGGCAGCTCATTTGTGGGGAGTGGCCACACATTAATGGAACATGAGCAGGGTAACATGGATCAGAGATAAACCTGCCCTGGAGTGACATAACTTTAAGATGCTTACAGTGTGCTTAAAACAAGTTTCAGGTGTTAATGTGCAGACAATCCAGGTGTTAAGAGCTCCAAGAGCTGCCCAATATTATTGTGTAAGGGCATTGTCACACAATCATTTTGGGTGGCTCATCCACACACTAACACCTGAAATATGGGCAGGGTAAATCACATTGGAAGTACACTTTTCACTGTGGCTGGCAGCCTTGCCCCTCATGGCTTGATCCTGATTGTCCGGGAAACTGAACAGCGATGAGCTTTGGGGCCACCAGGGCCTCTCAGCCACTCAGCAGTGCAGTATAGCCAAGCCCACCGTGCCAAAAATCATGAGACAAACTCTTTAAAAAATCAAGAGATTGGCATGTAAATCATGAGATGCTATTTTTGAAGTGGGTGTGTGGAGAGAGTTACTTGTGAAGGTGTTGGGGGCTGTGGGTGTGTGTGGAGGGTTTAGAGCTTGGGGGGGAGGAGGGTCCCACATGCCCTGGCAGGATGCAGGGTACTGTGGGTTAGGAGTAAGAAGCAGCAGCAGGGCCGGAAAGGCTGTGGCATGGAAGTGAGGAGCAAACAGACAGAGATGCACACAGACACTGACAGACACAGACAGCCCCCAGCTGGTAAGTGGAGGGAAAGGGGCAGGGGGGAAAGGGAAGCAGCAGGGGAGGAGATCGAGGCCCCCATGGTGAGGGAGGGAGTGGGGCAGGAGCAGGGCCAGGGGTGAATGGGGGCTGGGGGCCCAAGCAGGTTGTCCAGAGGCACAGGGAAGGGGAGCAGCTCCCCACAGCAGCACACACCCCTAGGGGAGAGATGCGGGGCATGTGTTCCCCACGAGGCAAAAGTAGACTGCCCACTGCGGGCTTGGGGCTCTGTGCCGTGCTGCCTTTGCCCCGGGAGCTCAGCCATGTGACCCCAGTGTGCCTCCTGCCGCCGGGCGGCCAGGAGATGTGTCACGTAGCTAATACATCCCATGTCCTCTGCCTACCCGGTGGGCAGCAATGGCATCATGTGACTGAGCTCCTGGGGCAAGGCAGCAGTTGCAGAGTCCCAGCCCACAGCAGGCAGCTTGCCTCGACTCCGCGGGGGACACAGGCCCCCATGCTGGCCATGCCTCCCCAAGGGTGTTCACTGCTGCGATGAGCTGTGCCTTTCCCCAGCACCTCTGGATGACCCACCGAGCCCTGGGGCCCCATTCACTCCTGCCCTTGCCCCACTCCCTACCTCACTGCGGGGGCCTCAATCTCCCCCACACCTCTTCCCTCTCCTCCATCCCTTTCACTCCACTTACCAGCTGGGAAAATCTGGAGATCTGAGGGTTGGATCTGGAGATTGCAAGTCGGAGTTATTTTGACTTTGAAATCCCGAGTCTCGTGATGGTTTCAGGACAGTTGGCATTACTGTCAGTAGAGGAAAGACACAGCAAAACGAGCAAAATTAAAGGAACTACTGTGCTGCACATTTCCAGCACAATTTAGGTAGATCCATTGGCAAGGCGTAGAGGGTGCACGCGGGTGCACATACACCCCCTGAGCTTGGCGGTGCACCCCCTGAAAAATGTGCCACCAATGCTGCTGGTGGTGCCTGTGGGCGGTTGCCCCTCATCAATCCCCCCTTCCCCCCTGTCACCAGGTGGCATCTGTGGGTGGTCACTGATTGCTGGTCAACACTTACTCCCCC